ACAAATTACATAGCAATTGATATGACTTACCCTATACAATCAAGTCCTCATCTTTACTGAAGTCTGCCTTACAAGATCCACAGGATAAACTTAGCTAGGATGATGAAGTTGAAGCTTCAGATCCAAAATGACTGGTATGTTTTAGCTGTTCCAATTTCTTTTAAAACTCAATCAGGGAGCTGATAAGTGGAACAGCCTTTTCCTACTCTTATCAGGCAAAATTGTATTGTCAAGATAACATTTAAGAGGTCAAATGTCATCCTGTTTCTTAGGTTAGATTTGATAAATTCACTCCAAATAAAAACATCTAGAAAAACATCTACCATCTAAACGTCAGAACGCCATCTAAATGCAAGGAAAAACATCTAAATCTGGATGTAAAACATCCAAAGTGGCAACACTGCAGCCGGGGCCAAGCTTTAAAATAACGAAAAAGTGCGTCCCACATAGGGGCGGAACTCTGGCAGTTATGTGAAAGAGAGGCAGACGGAGACTGAGTGAGAAGATGTTGGACAGTTTGACTGACTTGACTTGACTTTCTACCCCACTAGGACATCACACAAGCGATAAACACCCGATGACACAAAGTGCCACCATGTGGATGAGGATCGCCGTGGAGAGGTCCCAGAAACCGCGTTCAGACAATTGGCCATATTTATGGGCTGCCTATATTGCGGCCCCTGGCAAAAAATTTCGTCCTGAAAAGGACGAAACTAGGTATACTCCACCATCAGTTTGATATCTTGGTATCTGGAAATCTGGTAATCCTAGTTTCAGCTTCATAGCAAACGGGTCACCCCACAGATGCTCCGCTCCTGTGCCAACGAAAAACAAACGCAGCTCACAGTGTCACGCCATCTTGGTATGGAAGATCATCTCTGCACGAGTTGACTGAAAATACACGAGACAAAAGGTTGTTGACAGACGTGAAGACCAACACCACACGGCATGGACTTTAAGAAAAAGTTGTAAACATGACGTGCCAGCCACCATATTAATGATGAACGGAAATAAATAAATCTCCCCTTTTACATTTAAATGGGTTATGAACACACAGAGGCAAGGTAGACAACCACAAATAACGAACACATATGGTCATCGAAAATTAAACAGTAATGTCCCTTAGTATAGTTGGACTTTGCCTGCTTCATTGCCCTCTTCTTTATTTCTTCTACCGGAATGCCTCGCCTGGTCAGGGAAGAGATCTCTGGAACGAGCCCTTCTGCTCGCTTTGTAAGAGAGACCTCTGGCTCTGCTACCGTTGTATCTATTTAACATTGCCCTCTGTGGTGCCCTGTCTGATGCAAATCTTGTTACATGGTCAAACTATTTGTATTGTTGTCTACCTTTAAAGTTCAGTATTAGGTCTATGCTGACTCTCCTCCTGATATCATCGTTCCTACGTCGATTTTTCCTCGTTACATTTATCAACTACGTTGATGATTACACTAATAACCTTCTTAGGACATAATTTTTAGTTATTTGAAGCCCCACTCTGGCTTTTTCCAGGGGCCGCAATATAGGCAGGCCATCAATATGGCCAATTGTCTGAACGCGGTTTCTGAGACCTCTCCACGGTGATCCTCATCCGCGTGGTGGCACTTTGTGTCATCGGGTGTTTATCGCTTGTGTGATGTCCTGGTGGGGTAGAAAGTCAGTCAGTCAGTCAGTCAGTCAGTCAACTACGTGAACATTTAATTTATGTCGCGACTATTTTCCTTCTCTCTTGTGAAGACATTGTCCATGTTTGACATTGATAGCATAGAGTTGGTAAGAATATGGTGTCGAACAGTGTTCTTGCAGTGTTCATATTCACATGCTTGCATTTCAGAATTGGTGCCATTGCCTAAAACTTGATAGGCAGAGTTTGCCTGCAATAGAATACAAATCAGCCGACATAACAGCTAGTTTTTCAACGTTTGAGAATCACCGTGAGGCAGTGGTTAACACTCCTGTAGATCGATCAGGTAACAAACTAAGCGAATAAACCAACAGTATCTAGGCTGATTTAAAAACTTACCTGGTTTCCCATGTCTGAATCGCATATCAGAAATTTATTAGAAAGAAACGTAGCCTGTTGAAGTAAATGAAAGGAAGGACATAAGACCTAATATGGTGACAACTAGTCTATACAAAACAATAGAGCTATTACTGTATGTTCAATACACCAAAAGGTGGTAGCCTAACACCTAAAGGCATTAACATTGGGTCTTTATTTTACTTAACTGTTGGACGCTGGGATATGCAAAGATTGTGTATGCAATATATATATATATATATATATATATATATATATATATATATATATATATATATATATATATATATATATATATATATATATTAATCAAGTGCTTTGGCCACTTTAAACAACATTACATTCCTACTAAGAGGATTTGACAGAAATTACGAAGATTAGACAGCAAGCGGTATGTGAAGATACACATGGAAAAATGATATTTCGACTTCTTGAGTTTTTAAAAGATTTTTCATTTCTAGATTTGCACAGGACTACTAACTCCACACCGCAGTGGATTATGAAGAAGATTTGCTCTCTGTAGGATTAGTATTTCGGGATGAGAATCAGACAGATACAAATCCCGTAAACCCGTTCAACCGTGTAGCCACATAGAACTGCTAAACTGGTTCTTGACAAAACGCTGTAGTCCATTGTGTGTATATTATGCAGCACAGCTGTAAAATTTCCAGCCGCGGGCTTCTATTTGCAGGTTTTGCCACCACTGTAATTTCAAGGTCGCATCGAGGGAGTCAAAACCCCGGGGTGAAACACGGATACCTAGTTCAACAACTCAAGGAAGTTATAATTAGTGTACCCGTGACGGCCACACAAAGCGATGTACCATGCAGTCCTACGCGAGTAAACTGTTGATGACGAACATCAGTCTGTCAAAATATGCCAAGGTCAACGAGAACATACAATGTTAGGGGTCGACTGCTAGGAACCTTCACTGTGTATACGACAGTAAATTGATATACTGATATCCACCTTAATTTGTCTGAGACGCTAAAATCCACAGAAAAACGAATTTGTAATCAAATAATATTACCATCAGTTAAGTGATTTTATGTATACAAATGAAGATAACAAGTAAACATTACGTGAGCTTGGTATCTCAGACATGTTGAGATGAGATTCAACCTCTAAAAATTTCTCTCAGATAACAAAGTGCCCTATTTGGCTTTAAATGGCCAAATTGGCAATGTAGCTATGATGCAAGCATGACCCAATTGTGATGTCGAAATACTTGTTTCGAAATAAGATAAAATATAAATGACATAAGTTATCCAGAATATTATTATCAATGTTAGATATTACTTCATGTAAAATAGTACATTCAGTTTTCAAACCATTCACGTTTTTTTTTAAAAACCAAACAAATTTTCTCAATTAGAAACAGGCAGGTTAGTTTTCCCCACTCTACGCATTATGAGCTCAAAGGAACTATTTTGTCCCAAGCTGTGTGAGATATATCCGCTGTTGTTTATAAATAACGAATTACATTACCAAAAGAAGTAAATGTTGCTGTCAAATACTTAGGGTTTAAGTGAGTAATGCCTGACTTGCTTACTCAACAACAACAAATGGGTTAACATAAGTTTCTTCGGTATAGCTATTTTATGCAGTGTGGTGAATTGTTTCAGAAATGCTATGTATGGAATGATTTAGAAATTAGTTTGTACCTGAAGATGGTATCACTCCGTAGCTCCGGCGATGATTCTTTTTATTGTTAAGTACAAGAATTAGTTTATAATTATCTATTTAGAACATAAAACTAATAAATGTGTAAGAGACACCAACATTAAATAATTTGACACCAGGAGCCTCTTCTGGCAATGGCGAAAAGTCGCAAGCGGACTTGTATCAGGTACATGGTGGGACATGATTTGATTGCAAAGAAAATACCTTAAGGAACGGGGTGGGGTGGGGGATGGGGCTGAGTACCTGGAGTGACAACATAGACAGGTGGACAGGATTAAATTACTCTTATTCAACAAAAGGAAGACAGAGAACGATGGTGGGTTTTTGTGTGCCAGTGCTTCCCTCCATACACCCCCAAGACCCTAACGGGTTGACACTCTGGGGTAAATGGAGGAACGTCGCTGCAGCTACAGAGTTACGTGCGGACGGCGACACATGCGGACAGTTCTTATCAGCTGTCCGTACTGGTGGCAGAGCACTTATGGTTTATAACCGTGTGCAGTGACGCTGGTTCACATCTCCCGACTTTACCTTTACTTTTAAAGGGTTATGTGTCGATGCATAATAGGTATAGTTAACGAGCAAGAGACTGTGTTGAAACATGGCTGTTTTTCCCAGGAGAAAAAAAAAATTGAAGTAAATAAAAGTTATTAACATTCTTTTTAAACAGAGCCTTACATCCTAGATGCAAACAACTGGGAATGGAGAGTGAAAAGAGCCAGCGGAGAGACAATTTACAGGCAGACGTGCAAACTTTCGGAGTCATTCATTTGAAAAAGAAGATTAATCGCAGATGAATGGAAGCGCGTGATATCTTCAGCCATGAACCCCAAGGCATAGGACAACCGAAGGAGAAGAAATTGAAGTTATTCGTTCATAGCGACAGTGTAATAGTGTCAGGTTGCGGGTATGTTGGGTGGATATAGGGAGGTCCGATAAGTCAATATTTTATGCAGAGCTATTCGGAACTAAAAATGAACTAGGATAAAAAAGTAAATGTTATCAGTAGTACTCGTCTGTCTTTGTAAATCAGAGAGGCGAAGGTCAAGAAGAAGAAGAAGAAGAAGAACAACAACAACAACAACAATAAAAATAAGAAGGAGGAGGAGGAGAGGCAAAATTTGTTCAGCCATGACACACAAAAATAATATTTAACAAACAGACTGCGACGCGTACCTGGCCACTCCTGAATACAACTTGTAGAAAAGACAGATAACTGAACACATGTTTCTTTTTCACGAACATTTTCTTTTTGAGTTGACAAAGACCAGTCGACACAATGTCGTCCAGTGACAACCCACACAATGAGGCGTATTCTGAGCCCACATATAATCACAGTTTTAACGAGGATGTGTGTTTACCTCGGCCTCCAAATACAGCGACCCAGAGTCGAGTTCTGGGACAGATTCGGAAAAATGAACAGAAACAACAGGAGGAGGCGAGCACAACCCGTGGCACTCCTGTTACTGGTATGTAACCACCACTATTTGTGTGATTTATCACATTATTTGATTTCAGTGTTTCACGATTTACCACAGACAGTGCGGACAGTCACAATGTATATTTAAATATTTGTAAATATGTGTATTGTATAATGTAATTAATATTATCTGTTAACCCATTTTTCTAAAGCAAACTAAAGAATAAAAGATTGTTCAGTCATTACTAAACCGTTGTTTAAAACTTACTTCAAACACTGAGTTTCTCAGTTTCTGACCGCAACGGTTAATCGAATAATAATAATAGAGACAAACAAAGAATATTGGTATTTTTTTAAATGGTTAGATTGGAATTTATTGTGATTGGCTGAGCTGAACATAATTTACACTAACAGCTAACAGTGAGTAATTACTTACTTTACTAATTCAATTGAAGTAATTAATAAATTCATATTTAAAGTACATTGGTCATTGTAATAATATATTTGAAATTATGAAATTATTAATTATAATATAATCATGGAGTGTCATCTTTCATCATCATTCTCTTATTGTTATTTATCATGCTGTTGGTTAATATTATATTAGTTTAGAATAATATAATATTATACTTATTTACTTAGTCGCTCCTCTTCTAACTTGGGGTCTAGAAGTTTGCCAGAGAGATCTCAGACTTCTCTATCAAGTTTTATTTCTGGCCCTGTTCCATTTCAGTCCTCTGTCGGTCAGGGACCGTCAGAAGTTGTCTTCCCAGTGGACCCTGGAGGTCTGGTTCCCTGGTTCTTAGCTTCCCATGGTGGCCGATTTTCTCCCATTCTGCATACTTATCCAGACCATTGTAACTGTGACTGATCCACTCGGGTTTGTAAGGACTGGGTATCGTGATCTTGACGTATTGTCTGATTGCAGACTTTACGGACTTTGTTTCTTCTTGTCACTTGGATCACCTTCCTCTGCTATCTCGTTTATGAGGCCTAAAGCTGGCTTCTTTGAGCTGACGTCATTGCCCGTGACTCACACCAATAGGTTATGACTTACAAAAGTATAGCGGTAAACAGCCATTTTCATCCTTTTGCCAATTTCTCTTTTGGTAAGAAACCCTCGGTTTACGGCCTGGAAGAGTCTCCCAGCAGCTGCTTTTCATGTAGCCAGCTCATTCTAAATGATTCCCTTTAGATAAAACTCCAAGGTATTTGAACTTGTTGACCTACTCCAATGCATACTGTCCCATCATGATCAGGTGTTTCTTCTCCTCTCTTGAGATCATCTTGGTTTTAGTTTTGGAGATACTAATGGTCATTCTTCTCTTCCTTCCAGACAAGAAAGTAGCACTGAAGGTGTGCCTCTGATTTGAATAATTATATAATTAAAATGTAAATAATAATGTAGCTAGTTTAAATTTTCATCATGAAAGAACACATCCCACTGCAGTCTTTCTTATGAGAATGAGAACACTTGAGTATAATACCTTTCAAACTACAGTGATGTGGCTTTCAATGTCAAACAGAATGAAAAAATTGAGGGAAAAAGGGCGAGGGAAGGGGAATGGTGTGTGTGTGTTAGAGGCCTTAAGCAAAATTATTATATTATTATTTAATAAAAAGATTGTTGTGTATCATTTACAAGACATTGCTGAAATACTTTGGCTGTTTATGTAAACAAACACTAAAAAGATAACTTCTTTACTACATGATTTGGGGGAGAGGGGAGGGAGGACATCAGTAGGGAATTCAAGATGACTAGATAGGAAACCATTAGCTAGCAGAAGTTGAAAAATCACTTAGGAAATGCATTAAAAAAATAAATGCTTTAGAAAATTGCCGAACATAAAATTGTATGAATTTAAAAGGGTGAAGAAAGAGAAATGTTGTTACAACCACTGGTATAAACAGTTACAAGTCAGAGAAGATGATGTGATATTTGACAACTTCTGAGAAGAGACAGAGAATGTTGAATTACAGATCAACATCAGAGTGCTAGGACATTCCCATAAGCAGTCTGTCCCCATCTTCAGCAGCATGCTCAGAGTTCCAATTCCTATGGCACCAGCAGTAATCTGACCGTACATCCGTCTCACTTTCCTCTTGAGTGTTGAACTTCGGCCAGATCCCCTGGTCACGTTTTTACAGTACCATTCTCCTTAGACTGATGATCTGTGTGCGCTTCCGCATGAACAAGAATCACCAGACAGACACTGAAACAGGAAATGAAGACATCTGAAAGAAATTCTAAAGCGAACACTGAAAAGAGAAGCCAAAGGCACTGTGCTGGATTCCATCCGTGAAAGTGAAATGACTGCACAAGATAGAATGAAATGGAGAAGCAGACTATGAGCTCTTTGTGGCATATAATGGAGCAGTAGGGCAATGAATGAATGAACAAAACAGATGCTAAAACAAGTGAACTGTACCAGGTCCTTCCAGTTCCTGCACCCCTGATACTGGGTCAGAAGGGGTGAAACCAGAGGCTAAAACAATAGTAAACCAACACACCTGATGCATGATAAGTCACACAGAGGGTATGCTGAAGAGAGGATCTGGGCACTTATGGACTGACTAGTTCAGTTTGCCTTATAGACCAGGGCTTTTCATCTAAGTTTACTCACGGGCCAAAGCTGGGGATCATCACAGACCAGATTTAGGTTATGATTATAATTATAGGCCAAATCTGGTCTGTGGAATAATCATAATCATAGAAACCAGTATAATGTAGGTGATCTCAGGGATTAAGAAGTTAAGAAACAAATTTTCAGTAACAGTCTCCAGGTGTTGCAGCGGTTAGCTGAAGATGTAAGCACTGAAGTCTGCTGGGGATCAGATCAAGGAAATCTGGAATGAATCTTGTGTAGAAGTTCTTGGCAAGAAAGAATGGAAACTTTAAGCGTGGATAACATCAGAAACCATTGAATTGATTAAAGAAAGTAAAAGGAAAAAAAGCAGAATTTCAACAACAGCAAAACTATAGCAGCTGGAGCTCAGGTCGCCAGTTGAATAGCAAGGTATGTTATCTGTTGACCAACTAAGAACCTCACTCTAGCAGACTTAGCAATCTTGCAGTTGAGGCTGATCCCAGCAGAGATAGTTGGTAATCCTCCCTCCATTATATATATGTATATATGCAGATGGGTCTGTAGTGAGAGTTAAGAAGAGTAGGTGGGGTTTTATTGCATAGATAAATAGACATTGTTTGAAAACAGACAGATTTATGCACAACATCACAACATCCAGTGTGAGAATGGAGGTGGAGGCAGTAACGACAGCTTTCCGATGGCTTGAGAGCAGCACAGTCTGACATATTGTAATTGTAAAGGACTCATGGAGCATGAATGAATTTTTGTGTGCGGCCTTTTGGGTATATAGGGATATACTTTTTTTATAGACTAATCTGCACTCAGGTGGTGATGTGGTCAGCATTACGCCGGCCACCTTTACTTCCCAGGACTTCACCCAGTACCCACTCAAAACAGAGCAAAGGGGTAATTTTGAAAAAGAAAAAAAAAACAGTGCCGCCAAGACCTGAACCCACAACCTTGTCATCCTCAAGTGCACCTCCGGACCACTACACCCCAGCGACTCCCACTCACAGAGCATGCTTTGGGAAATAGAAACTAGAGTTCTGTGCGTGGGGCGGCTTGCATCGCTTGATAAGACTCAGAAAAGGGGCGTATCATGCATTTTCTGTCAAGGGGATTCTGGCGGGCCAGGTAACGAGCTGCTTGCTGCCGCTCCTCAGTGAGCTAGTTTATTATATAGCGGATGTGTTGAATGCTCTCTAGGATCAAGTGGGCAGTGCAGTAGAGCATCATATGTTAAAAGAATAATTTTTTTTTGGGGGGGAGGGGCGGTGAGTAGAGATTCTGGGAGATATTTAACACAGAGGGAAAAACAAATGAGCTTTTAGCCAGGTTGCAACTGATACTATTAGCATGTGGACTGTAGTCGACTAGAAAAAGAGACAGACGTGTGGGAATGTCCCAGGTGTAACTTTGTCACACCATCTAAGTGACAAAAAAATCCAACGGTTGAGATTTTCCCATGACATTAAATTTTCAAATTTTCTGCCGTCTTTATTTTTATTACTATTTTTTATTATAATACAACTGATAACCAGCATGAAAGTGAACTATGTCATTATTTGTATTTATTGTAACTACAGCTGCAGTCAGCCAGCCCCAGTCTGGCCATACTACTACACCTCAACAGTCTCTAACGCTGCCACAAGTCTACAGCCAGTTAAATGTTCAAGCAAAAGAGTTTGTTCCGCGTTCTATGGTTAGTGTTCTTTTATTGTATTCTTCCTTGTAATTTTCTTCACAATTTTTTTTTTAACAACTCACCTTTGTTTTTAAAAAGTAATAAACATTTTTTGAGTTTCTTTGGATTCACATTTGGTGTTTTGCTTGTCTGGTCATTTTGGATGATTAAAACGGAAAAATAGAGGCACTGCAGAATATCGCAATGACAGATTACTAGAAGAGAAGGCTGAAGGAAATCACAGTAGATAATCTTTGCTGATGGGAAAACAAATACCAACACGAGTGATCCAGAACACAGAAATGGTATCTGGGAAAAGACCCGAATGCCTGCGTTATCTAGCAGAGCACTTGATGATGATGATGGTGGTCAGTTCAGGTATACATGCAACTAACACTTAGTTGTGTACAAATATAACTTTGTACTTTTCTCTTAGGGTTACACATCTGATTCTGGCTCTACACTGGGCAATAGCCAAGATGATGAATCTTTCAGTTTTTCTGTTACGGCAGCTGAATTTGTACCTAGAACAAATGATGGATTTTACTCAAATGCTGATACAGCGTATTATCCTGTAAGTTGTGTGTGGCATCTGTGACTTGTGTGTCATTACATTGGGAGAAACTGGCCAGAATGGCTGAGAGTTCTAAATGTCATTTAATTTTAAAATATAAGGATTTCTTTACCTTGTTAATTTTTTTTTTTAAACTCAAAAGACCAGTTCATAGTAGTATTCTCAAGTTGTATTTGACACCTGTAGCTTGTATATAATTTCTTTTTCTACTTCCATGTTTATCCTTAAAAGTGTAGTTGGCATGTTGTGTTGTGGTTTACAGCTAGGCTGCAATATCTACACCTTTTGGTCCATCACATCTGGTTTAAGCAAAATCCTAACTAGTTTTTTTTTCTCCAAATATCATGTGTGCTTTTCGAGGCAGTTTGTTCTCGTCTCTCCTCCAGTGCCCCCCCCCCCCCCCCCCCCCCCGGAATCCACACGCGGGGAGTAACTGATATTATGTCAGTAGAACCAAGTCAGAATAGCAGAGAGTGTGAAATGTGAGATAGTTTCAGAGGAGTGGCTGGCTAGTTGGTTAGAATGCTAGCCTTTCAGGAAGGCTAACCTGGTGAGCAAAAGCCTGTGGAAGTCAGATGTGTCGGCTGAAAAGCACAAACATCACAGCCATGTTATACACGGGCATGGCACATTTTCATCACGAATAAGCAGAAAAGAAAAATGTGAAGCTCTTGTGCAGGATTTGACAACGTGATGAAAATTTGTTTGTTGGGTCCATAAACCATTCTCACTTGCACAGTTTGGGGCATGTGCAGTTGCCATGCAGCTAGAATTCTCAGGCTTAGGATCTCACTATCCTTCACTACCATAAAATAAAAGGTGTAATTACAGGTAGTTATTAGCTTGTTGTTAACAAAGTGGGGGCTGAATGGTGTCGGGGCATGGCATCCACTTGAGTGCTGGAGGTCCCGGGTTCAATCCCCGAGAGGGCTGGGATTTTTTCATGTGGACTTCTAGTAATTGTCCTCTGGTTTCTGGGTAGTATCACCGGACGGCAGTATGTATTGCTCCGCACGTTAAAAAAAAAGACCTTGACATTTGGAAACGGCGCTGCCTGGGCACAATTTTTGAGTTAAAAATCTACCCAGAGTAATTTTAGCATCCTCGCTGGTGCAACAGAGTTCGTGCACAGCACAGAGATTCTTCAGACTCAGGCTTGAGGTAGAAGTAGAATGGAGCACTTAAGTGTTACACCAGTGTGCCGTGATGTTGATACGTTAAATAAACATAACAAAGTAAGCATTCCTTTTTTTTTTGAAAATGAGTTACTTTGTTACTTCTAGACAAGATTGATATTCTTATCAGGTGCACTGCATCAGCGAATAATAAAGCGCAGAAAGCACCTGCTGAGATTGAGCTAAATATGCCTGGCAAAAAACTACAGTTTGTGTCCTCATTATTGAAATTTATATTTTACATAATTTCATAATAATCTGACTTATTTGTATGCAGACTGTTGGTTCTTTGCCACATAGGCAGATGCACTCCAACATTGAAGGAAGCTCGCAGTTAGTTGCCTCTTATATGCTTTGGTATAGGCTGTGGATCTGTTCGTGGGGAACTGACTTGATTTCTTTCTCAGATTAACCTTTTCATCCTGTGAAGCCACAGACCGGGCACTTCTGGTGGTTTCACTCCCCTCTAAATGCAGCTTATCTGGCATTTCTACAGTGGCCTGTTTGTGAGACATTTAGTTTGACGCCACTGGCTGTGTTTTGTTTTGTAAAACGCCATTGGCTGAGTTTGCGCAGCATTCAGGAGGGAGTTTTTGTGAAATTTGCTTTTTTAAAAGCGATTTGCGGTCATAGTGTTGTGACCTGAATCACCTGGTACATATTTTCTCTACATCCCCTGGGAAGGAACTCCATGCTTAAATCTTTATGTTAACTGATTACTGCATTTGTATGCTTCTTTGAAAAAAAAATGTTAATTTTTTTTTAATGTATTAGTAAAATGCATGCTGCAACAAGTTACTCACCTATTTTTAGTGTTTACATGTTGAAAGGCATTGCATTAACACATTTGAAATTGTGGCAAGAATTAGACTAATTGGCCAGTGTGTATTTATAAACATAATTTTTCACATGTCATATTACCTTAGAATTCTTGTACTGTGTGTCACATCCTGTGGGATGTGTATTTTATTACTTTTTACATTTGCTCGGAGCATATTACAAAAATTGTGAGCTGTGGTGGCGTAGCGGCTGGATGCTCACCTGCTGGCCTGTAAGTTTTGGGTTTGAGTCTGTTGAGTCATGATTTTTTTTCTCTCTCTGACAACTGACATTGGCTTCCAGGCTGATCCACCTTATAATGGGTCTCAGGCAATGCCATGGGAAGTAAAGGTGGCCAGAATAATAGATGACTACGCCATCCACCGATGTTGCCCTGTATTTCTCCTCTCTCTATTGCCTTAGAATTTCTAACGTTTAGTAGTTAGCGATGACACAGGATCTGGGTGAGCTAACGAAAGACCAGGTTTCTTTCAGGCAGACCATGGTGAGGGCGGTGTTCTACAGAGGCCCTATCACATGATAATGATGATCATATACTATTACATCACTGGCATAAAAAAAGAGATGCTGTACATTTACTTATACTAGAGACATCTGGCCTCATCAGTAATGACTTTCCTGTATGTAGTATTGTCGGCGTTTGTGACTTAGGCGTTGCGAACGCGCTTCCTAATGCCGGGGTGCTGCTGTAGGTTTGTCTTGCGCTGGTTTCGACAGTGGTACAGAGAGTCGGCCGTCCAGAAAGCAATAGCAAGCTACTGGACGTATATTTACCTAGAAAAACCACAACAGCCAGAAAGTGCTGGGGTTGGTTCTGCAACGTCCTGTAAAGGATGCGCAACTAACTTAACTTATGAATGTAGTATTAGCAAATCGTGCACTTTATCAGTTTTTATTTTCCCTATGTAACACCATCATCTGGGAAGACTGAAAGGTCCCTTGCCATGAAGCCTGTAACTAAATAAATGAAGTGACTGAATATTAAACCTTGGGGCAATTAAAATGTCATTTGTGTAATAATAAATGTATAAGCTCCCTGTGTGGGCTCCGGGGCCCTATTAGAGAAAACAAGAATAGACCCATTGCCTAACCAAAAACATGTTGTAAGAGTCGACTAATTGGGAGCTTCCTTCAAAATCAGAGTGTATCTCCCTGAGAGGCAAGGAGCCAACAGTCTGCATACGAATGGATGCACATGCAACATTTAGGTTCTGAAAGTGGATGAACAAACAGAATTTTCCGCCAGAGTTTATAGCTGATGAACACAAAGAAGAAGAAGAAATGTACAAGTATTGATTAGCACTCATAGAAGCAGGAAAATGAGTGTGCTGTGTGACTACCTATCCCCACTTCTTTCCTCTGTTTTGGGTACATTTTCACATGCTTTTATCTTTGTTCACTGCCTGTAAGCTCTAGCGTAAAGTCCTGGTTGTTCTTCCATTTGGACTTTGGCTTTGTGCTTGACCTGAGTTTTGCATGTACACATCTTTTACTAGATTATTTGCATGCAGTTGGTTGTTCCTTGCCGCTCGGGCAAATGCAATCCGACTTCGAAAGAAGCTCCTAGTCCAATTTGTCGATTCCTACGACATATTTTTTGGGAAGACAGTGGATCTGTTCTTGTTACCCCCCACAATGGGAGCTCTAGAACCCACATGGGAAGCATGCTTTAATGAATTCCAGCAAGCAGTTTCTGTCTTTCCTATAGGTATACAAAAAAAATGTGTAGCACCATATTTTTATATCTGTCCATTAAGTTGCAGTCATTCTGCTTTAAAAACCCAGTCACTGCAGCTTCAGCACAATATTTGTCTTCCATACATCAGAGTTGACGGGTGGCACTTTTCCATCTTTCCAGACCATAGTGTTATGTTTTGATAAAGGGAGGCATGTGAATGACAACCTGTGTCTAGTGACATTGACAAGACCCACTGTCATTAAGGACTTATCTTCCACAGTTAGAGCATATGGCTTCAAGACACTTGCCATCAAATTGATTAAATGCGCTTACAGAAATGGGAAGAATATAGGTACCAACCAGTTAATTTTATGTTGTTGCCCGGAGAGAGAGGGTCGCAAGTGACATTGACAAGACCCACTGTCATTAAGGACATATCTTCCACAGCAGTTAAAGCATATGACTTCAAGACACTTGCCATCAAATTGATTAAATGTGCTTACAGAAATGGGAAGAATATAGGACCAACCAGTTAATTTTATGTTGTTGCCTGGAGAGAGAGGGTGGCAAGTAAATATCTGAAAGTGACATTCAACAGTGCAGTTACCTGAGATTGGCCTCATGCTGTTTATATACTGGCATCTTTAATTATGAAATTAAATAGTCATATAGCTTTTATAACAAAGCCAGAAGACTGCATTTGAAATTGTATCACAGCCATACCACCGTATACTTTTTACATTGTCAGTCGTAGTATTGTTTTCTCATACTCTTGAGAAGTACTGTTTTCCTATGTGGGGAGTGATACCTGGAAGTGGGGGGGGGGGGGGGGATAATAGACCCACTGTCCCCTCACACACACAAGTGGGGGGGGGGGGTAAAAGACCCACTGTCCCTTTACACACATGGAGTGGGGGGGGGGGGGTAATAGACCCACTGTCCCCTCACACACATGGAAAGGGGGGGGGGGGGGGGTAATAGACCCACTGTCCCCTCCCACACATGTCATGAAAGGTGACTAATCAAGAGTTTGCTGAAATCGGACATGTTGAGCTGAAAAACACAACACAACATCCCACCTATCCTTATGAGGATGATCACAGAAGTATAAACAATGTTTAGGTTTTTCTCTGAACTCATCCAGTTCAAGGAGCAGTTGTTGGAGAGGAATAACCACTGAAAATTGACAAGCATAACACTTTGAAAGAGGCAGTTAGGATTGCCAGATTTGTGTAGTATTCTATAACCGAATGCAAAATATAACAGAACATACTGCATAATGTTAGAGATTAATGAGAATGAGTTTTGTTACACATAATGCGCTACTTGAGATTGAAAGAGTTAATCTTGAGATGTACAGTTTATTGGACAAGCATCTCATTTGGAATTTAGGGTCACATTATGGATGATAACAAGATCAGGCCCACTGCCTCTCAAACAGCCGTCTTTTGAAATTGGAGTAAATCTGCCTAAGAGACAAGGAACCAAGAGTCTGCATACAGTAAGTCAGATTGTGAAACAGGTGTGCATGCAAACAGATTCTGACGCATGGCTAAGGTCCGGAGGTGAAAGAAAACCCGGAGTTTTCTGTCAGAATCTACAGCTGGTGAACGCGAAGAAGTATCAGTTCTGTTAATTGATTTATAACTAATTTAAGTGCCCTGTGGTACAGACAGTAAACCTCTGTAGTTGTACACTTGAATGACCCAAGTTTATTTCTGTTTGATCTTTTTAGCAGGGCTTACCGTTCCAGTCTGGATCTAACATTGTGAATAACTTCAGCAGCTTGAGTGTGCGGGAACCGTTTGATCCCTACAGACAGTCTGATGGGTATGGGAGCCATTCCGGAAATTTAATTCTTGACCGCTTCAGTCACTCGCTAAACGTGCTCAATTTAAATCCTGGCAACATAGAGGAGTATCTCCGTCCCGTTTGTGAGATGATTCAGAGCAATTCAGAAAGTACAGATGTTGTTACAGATGTTGTGGAAATGCTGTTTGAGCAGGTAAATAACATCTTCTGTTCCTTTTTTAATTTGTTGTTGTTGAGAATTTGCTGTTATTGTGTTTAAAGTGGCATTTGAATGTCTGATCAACTTCTACATTATCTTGTCTGATCTTGTTCCTTGCACTTCTTTAGTGATATGAACTGTGCCGTTAAAGAAAAGAAGTCGGTTTAATGTAAAGGAAGGTGTACTTATTGTGATGGAAATACTTTGAGACTTGACACATGTATAAAAAAAAATGGAATCATCACTTTTTAGCAATGTCTTAGGAAAGCTGACAGTTTAACCATTCAGAACTGACAGAGAAACAGTTTTATCGGACAGATTGCTGGAATAAAACCTTTTGTCATTCCATAGCAAGTTCTGGACAATAAAACAATGGGAAGTCCCTGTGGGGGTCTGGGGCTCTATTGTGAGGGAAGGGGGTGGGGTAAATTAACACCCCCCCCCCCCCCATCCAAGCCTGCTTCTGCCTCAAAGGCAAGAAACCAACAGTCTGCATACATATCAACTAGATCTGTAAAGTCAACGTACTTGCACAACTCAAGTTTTGTAACAAGACTGAAGTCTAGGAGTAGACAAATAACCACCACTTTCTGCTGAAGTTTACAGCAGGTCAGCGCAAGGAAATAGTAGAAAACGGAGCATTTGAAAGACAAGGTTTGATGCAATGGCATAATTGAGGTAAGATTGCAGATGTGATCTAAAGTTCTGTTGATCTTGTGAAATGGCAGATATTTTACATCCTAAGTTGTAATGGCAAACGATCATGTTTGGTAAATTGTGGTTATAGCTGTTGTGAAAGAAAGTTCTTCTGAGGGGAAGAAATGACATCACAGCACTCAAGGCATTAAGTGCTCTCTTTCCCCATCTTCATCAGCCAGCATATTGTAATGACACCACTAGCCATCTTCTTCACGTTCACTGGCTGTAAACTGCAGTAGAAAGTTCTGGTTGTGTGTCCATTTCTAGGCTCTAGCGCTCTTAAAATTTACCGGCTGTCAATTCCAGTAGAAAGTTCTGGTTGTGTGTCCATTTCTAGGCTTTAATGTTCTTCACGTTCACCAGCTGTAAACTCCAGTAGAAAGTTCTGGTTGTGTGTCCATTTCTAGGCTTTAATGTTCTTCACGTTCACCAGCTGTAAACTCCAGTAGAAAGTTCTGGTTGTGTGTCTGCTTCTAGGCTTAAATGTTCTTCCCGAACTTGAGTGTTGCATGTGCATCTATTTTACAGGTCTGGCTGTGTACAGGTTGGTTCTTCTACTCTCAGGCAGAGCTCTCTGACTTTGAAGGAGACAAACCTACCTAGTTGTCTTCTCTGACATGCTTTTTTGGGGGTCAGGGGTGTTTGTTGTTGCCGAAACCCACACCAGGAAGTAGCTCTCTGATTGTTGGTCTTTTCTCTTGAGTGTTGAATCATCCAGAACCTCCGGTCACTCTCTGCAGAATGAAATGATCTATGCATGTCTGCATTTACTTGCTCCCAGTGGGCCTTGACTACATCAATCTTGTCATGTATCAGCTTACCTCTCACTGGTAGAGCACTAGCCAACTGTCTGCCTGTTCATTTCCTAACATACCAGCTTTTTCTCAGAGAAATGGCCCAAAGAATGCTAAAAACTCTTTGGGAGTCTGTCATGAAATGATCTTGGCCTTATTGTATTTACTGTCTTGACTAAAATGAACTCTATGCCATAATTCAAGTACTGTTATTTTTCTTTTGATTTTTAACAGAGTTTACAAGAGCCAAATTTTCGATACACTGGAGCCAGGATATGCCAGTATTTGAACAGGAACTTAAAAGGGAATCCGTACTTCTCTGGATTTCACAAGATATTTATCAAAAGGTAACCCTGACTTTGTGATTCTGCCATACTCTTTAAGGAGCTGTCGTAGCGGTGTCTAGGCACTTGCCTGCTGACTCAAAGGTATGGGTTAAGCATCTGCACCAGAGTGGATTTTTATTTAATCACCTTGGCTCTTAAGCCGACTCATCCCGACTACTGTTGGCAGCTTTCTGTCTTTCCAGACGACAGATATATTGCGCTAAAACACAGAACTCTGGTCTCAGAATCATCACCGGAGTCAGTGAGCTGGAGGCAACTTCTGGCCTCCAGAGCTTGAGCCCTCAAAAGGAAGGAAAGGTGCTTACTCTAACATAAACATTTAAAGGCATGAATAACAACCCCATGCACAGAATAGCAAACAGCTTAACTAAAAAGGCAAAGCTTTCACCATCTATTTATCTGTGGAAACAAAAAACAGTGACATCCTTTCTAAGACCCTTTAACGCGGGTAATGATCCAGGCAAGCAACATACACCTTCAGCCTAACTGTACAGTCACAGCAACAATCCCAGGCATAGACAGAAAGGCTGAAGAGTGTGTCCTAGTACTGCACGCAAGACCCCTTGAACATGTTTGCAACTTTTACCAAAAACCTGCATGGACACACACATACACCCACCAGTGGACATTGGAGGGAGCCGGAAAAAACACGGAGATGATGGGTCCATCAACATGCTGCAAGATGGCACTACAGTAGAAACGTCATGTGTCTCCAGAAAACACCATAGACTTCAGAGCAGAGCAGCAATTAATTAATGATGAAACCAAAATGCTTGAGTAAAGAAAAATTAAAAACTAAAAATTATTTTCCTTTGTGACTGCATGCTATTCCTCCAGGCGACCCAAAAGGATCCATGAGACAACATGACCTGAGAACTGACCCGCCAGCTAAACAGACTCAGAAAACAATCAGATTGTTTTCCAGTGGATCCCGGCTCACTGCGGCATAGCAGGAAATGAGCTTGCAGACTAAAAATGGAACAAAAGAGAAACCACACCCATTCATTGTCATTACCAAAAATCAAAACACTTACCAAGAGAAAATACAAGTAATTTTGGAGAGAACAGTAAATATCCACGAGACTCCATCAGCAGACTCAACAGAAAGCAACATACAACAATTTTGCTGTATATGAACAGGACACTGCAGGCTCAACTATCACTTGTATAAAATAAAGATGTAGTATGGTCCCCAAAATGTGCCTGTCAGACATGACCAGATACACCTGAGCACATTCTGTAGGCCTAAGAGGTCTGGTCTCCCCTGCCATCATATGAAGTTACCAAGTTGCATTTCTTTGTAGCATAAGGCTGGTATCCTCCATAATGCAGAGCTAAGGCAGTGTGGGATGTCAGGTTTAGTATACACCGACCAACAGTCAGCATCAAGGGAAAATACCCAATGTTGAGTGCCATATGTTGAACCTGACATTCCATACTGTTCATAAAGTAAATGTGAACTATATACTATACCCTGTGTTGTTGCAGATACATAAAGATATACTATACCCTGTGTTGTTAATAAAGATACATACAGACAATGACTGATCAGGTCTCTTCTAGCTGTGAAAGAGTTACATAAAGTTTTATAATTTTTAAACTGCTGTGACTGGTTTCAGTCTTAACTTCAACTTCACTTTCTTCTTGTCTACTGTCTTCTGATTCTTCCTGTTTTGTCATATTTTCTCATATCTTGTCCCATATATATATATATATATATATATATATTTTTTTTTTTCCCCTGTGTGGGTTCCGGGGCCCCATTGTGGGGAAAACAAGAATAGACCCACTGCCTTCCCAAAAGCATGTTGTAAGAGTCAACTAATTGGGGAGCTTCCTTTGAAGACGGAGTGCGTCTGCCGGAGAGGCAAGGAACCAACAGTCTGTATTCAAGAGAATGAGATCTGTAAAACTGATGCACACGCAACACTCAGGTTCTGGAGCAGGACTGCAGTTCAGTAGTAGACGAGCAACCAGAACCTTCCGCCAGAGTTTACAGCTGGTGAACGCGAAGAAGAAGAAGAAGATATATTTTTTTTAAAGAGTAATATTAACTTTGCCCTGATTGTTTCTGAATTGTTTTCTTTTCACTGCCATAACGTTTGTGTAGTCGAAATTTTTTTGTGTGTCTTCTCTGTGACATTCCTTTGTCATTCGTAAAAAGCTTTTTTTTTTTTTAAAATGACCCTGCATTTTGTTCTGTTTGGCACATGCAGATGTCAGAAGGAATACAATTTGCGAGATGTGCTAAAGAATGGAAGTCCAGCTGATCAGGAGCGCTTGAGGGGATTATCCATGTTCATGGCGGAGATTTTTCTGAACGTAGAGGTAGGTGAAATTATGTATTTTATTGTGGTTTCATTGCCAGCATGTTAAACATTTCATGTCATTCATCTTTCTGGGTGGGTTCCAGTACCCCATTTGTGAGGGTTGTGACCCATTCTTAACATTCATATTTTAAAATGCTTAAAATGAGGGTTTGCTGATGTGTATTTACGACAGGGGCAGATATCGCAGTCTAGCTGTAAACCACAGCACACTGTACCAGCTGCCCTTATTACAGTGTGAAGGCAGAAGATAATACAAATCATTGCCAGTGTTAAAATACTATAATTGAATTTCTTTATTTCATCAGCATCTATGGCTGAAGGGTTATGTAAACAGTTTCATAATTTTGACATGCCAACGTCAGGTGTTGGCTGCAAACTGCTTTGCGGTGATTTGTGACAACAGTTTTAGCATCTAACCCAGTGCTTTGAAATTGTCATGACAGGTTAGTGTGGGAGCTGCACTATGAAGGTCTATCATGTGAATTTAATTTGTATGTGTGTCTGTATCTCTGATTAGGGATTAATTTAACCTTTAGTTTAATCTTTTTTTAAGGGATTGGTTTAATCTTTTGTAAGAGATTAGTTTAACCTCTGGTTTAACCTTTTGTAAGGGATTAGTTTAACCTGGGGAGCTAGAAGACTATATGACTGTGTCGCATAATTATGTTTGACCGAAAACTTTTACCAGCATAAACATTTTATAGAGCTCTGGTCAAACTTTTTAGAAAGCACTGGCAAAGTCCTGAATGTAAAATCCTATAGTGAAACTCCAGGCAACAAATGCTGATGTTGGTTTGTAATGTTTTATGAAAGGACAGGCAACTAACAATCTTTTCATCTTCCTGTGTGCTGATAAGCGCCTGCAGTCATGTTTTGATACCTGGGATGTTCACCGGGATCGTAAATCAGATCTTGTCCCATCCATTTGGTTAAGCCATCCTGGTATTCATCTCTTTACCTTCTGCTTGCTTTTTTTCCCCAGCAATATTGCTAGTTACTACATTTACGAGTCCATATCTTCTCATAAAATTCCCAGACAGTAATAGCTGGCTGTGTCTAATTTCTCCAGTGAGTTCAGATTTGCCGAGGGCTGTCTCAAGGAGCACCTTTGAGAGTGGCTGGCCTAACCTTCATCTATGCAGGAGTTTGAGACAGCGAGCATGGAGATTATCTGGCAGGCATTGTGATTGGTCTGATACTAAACAGAAACGATGTCATCAATGCCAAAATTGAACATTTCACTAAAGATACAAGGTGTTTCAATAATCAACACAGAACAGGGGACATCATCATTACTCTTGTGAAGCTGTTGAGAATGAGACCTACGGATCTGTCCAAAGTGCTGTGATAATAATTCTCACTTATCGCTGATCAGCGAGGACTGCCTTTTTATCATTCAGGTTTTTAAACTCCGATTTGCTAAAATTCTATTCAGAACATAATCATCATTCTCAGTTTTAAGATTTTCTTTTACTATTGCCGTTTAGTGGTTTTTATATGTCTTTTGCTGTCACAGACTGAAACAAATGATGGATCTCTCCAACGACTGAGCTTCCTCCCCAAAATTCTAGTTGATCTTGTCAGCACTCTCCTGGCCACACCGTCTGATTTAGATGTCAAGTGCTCATGCCAGTTACTAAAGGTAATTTTGTACTAAGTAGGGACAAATCAGTGGTAGGGTATTTTTCAGACTGTTGTCTCTGTTAATGAATGAATAAATCAAGAATTGATATCACTGCACTTGGGGCATTCCCACATATGCTCTGTCTCTTTTCTGAGCAACCAGTGAAGGGTTTCTGTACTGATGTAGCATAAGGGCACTACTGGGGCACCCATTTATTCACCCTCACAAAACTACACGAGACCACGATAACAGCTGATAACAGCTAAAGCTGTTGTCTGCAAATGAACTTGAGTTTTGTCCCTAAGTGTCTAAATTGTTAAACCTTTTGTCCCACTCCTTTTTAAAAAAATTTTGTTTTCATTTAACATCAGTTTTGCTGAACATTTTGCCCTGTAACAGTAAGATCGAGGGAGGCAGTATTGGTTTTTTTTTTTACTGTTTATATTAAGGGCATGCACAGAAAAAGTGTTTATTAGAAATTCACAGAACACAACACTTGCTATGACTAGAAAACTGAATGGAGAAAATGTAAAAAAAAAAAAAAAAAAAAAAAAAAACCAGTGACCTAGCCTTAAATGGTTACCAGGTAAAGTCCTTGGAAGTAAAGGTGGCTGGCATGGTGTTCACCACATCACCGAGTGCTCATTGGTTTGTAAAATATAGGTCTAGCCCTATGTGCCTAATATGCCCGAAGGTGTTGAAAAGGATACTTTACTTACTGCAGAACATTGCGACCATATGTTTAAGCAAGTGGAAAGAACAGCGATGTTGCAGACATTGAGAGTTTTGTAGTCATATTTTGCCTTGTTACTTCTTGTCACTCAGAATGGATAAGATAAGACTCCCTCAACAAGCCTTCTTGTGGACACTGGAAGGGATAAGATAAGACTCCCTCAACAAGCCTTCTTGTGGACACTGGAAGGGATAAGATAAGACTCCCTCAACAAGCCTTCTTGTGGACACTGGAAGGGATAAGATAAGACTCCCTCAACAAGCCTTCTTGTGGACACTGGAAGGGATAAGATAAGACTCCCTCAACAAGCCTTCTTGTGGACACTGGAAGGGATAAGAAAACTGGGAAGACCAAAAGAGCCCCTGCATAGGAACCATCATCAGGGAAGGGTCAGTCTTGGGCCTATTGAACATCCAAGGTCTAAAACAGGTGGCAACAAACTGCCAGACATGGAGAGCTTTGACCTCTGCCCTGTGCGCAGGCCTAGGCTCAAGAGGAAAGACTATCTAACTTCTTATTGTCGTAACTCAGGCCACTCTTATTTTAAACTTGAAAGAAGTCCAGTTATTGTTCTTCCCAGCAGTAAAAACCCTCATCGAAAAAGCCTTGTAACACTGGATGTGATTAGGATTTGCTTGGACATCTAAACAGAACCGGGCAAGTCGCCATGTTTCACTTACACACTGGATATTGCATGCTGAACAAACCGTCTTCTTCTGCGTCCATCCTGTAATTGCATTGTGATGGTTTACAGCATGGCTGTGATATTTGCATTTCGGTCAACACATCTGCGGGCATTTGTTGACCGGGTTAGCCTTCCCGGTTGAACAAACCATCTGATAAATTAGATATGAGCCAGACAGCTCTCTGCCAGTGTCTTCAAGCCGAGCAGACCTCAGAACATGTCTTGTAAGACTGCTGCCCTGGAGGGACTGAAGCAACATGTGCCCACACCAGTTAGACCTGTCAGCTAACCTTTGGGGAAGCCTAAAAGCTCTCGAGCTGGCATCCCAGTTCATTGCTCACAATGGTTTAAGTACATGACCAGATATCACTGATGAAGATCTGTGACATCACATTTAATTGTTCATGTGAATTGACTTATAAGTTTGCACAAAAGATTCCTAATTTTTCTGTGTTTGCCAGTTATCGGGGTCACTGATAGAAGACATCGTCAAACATTCCCAGGAGGACTGTATCAAGTTTGAGGAAATCTTCACACAACTCTTCAATCTCCAGAGCAGTCCAGAGCTGACTGAGTAGGTGCTTTGCGTGTGTGTGTGTGTGTCGGTTTTTGTATTAACTGACATGCATGTACGCACACATCTTGTGTCATGTATATGTGCTGGACCATTTTGTTTGTGTATGTGTTGGACCAATAACATACTTGCATGTTTTCCATGTATACTAATGGATATTAATGCTTTCATGAATGCTGATTAGTTAATACATGTAATTATCTAGGTCAAACTGTGACAGCGGAAGATGCTGATTGGTTAATAAATATGCCCATTTAGGTCAAACTGTGACAATGGAAGATGCTAATTGGTTAATAAATGTGCCCATTTAGGTCAAACTGTGACAATGGAAGGTGCTGATTGGTTAATAAATGTGCCCATTTAGGTCAAACTGACAATGGAAGATGCTGATTGGTTAATAAATATGCCCATTGAGGTCAAACTGTGACAATGGAAGATGCTGATTGGTTAATAAATATGCCCATTGAGGTCAAACTGTGACAGTGGAAGATGCTGATTGGTTAATAAATAAACCGATTTAGGTCAAACTGTGACAATGGAAGATTCTGATAAGTTAACTCTAAGTCCCAATGAACGCCTCATACGTTCATTGGTTCCTACATAGAAACCCTATGAACGCAGGATGTGCCAGTTTTACGTCTCTCTTGACTATCCCTTCAGCCTCTGAAAGAGTTAATGAATATACCCATTTAGGTCAAACTGTAAAGGAAGATGCTGTTTGGTTAATAAATATACTTTTCAGGCCAGACTGTACTGAAAATGCCTGATTTTTTATTTGTAATGCTGCATGTTTCAATGCTTCTTTACTTTTCAGAAATGTCAGATTTTTGATTGGGAGTGTTCTTAAGTTGAAAGAAGCAGACTGGAACAGAAGTTCTTCATCTCCACCCAAAAAATCACTCTATACATTCACCCCAGAGTCAAACAATTTTAAGGTAACAAATCTTTCTTTATAAGCATGTGAAATATGTTTGATTACTTTTGATGTATTAATTATTTTTAAAAAAATTTCCAGTCGCACATTTGTATTAGTTGATGTGAAAGCATGTATGCCTAAAAATGTATTGATGACCCTGATGCAAAAAAACTGTGAGTTGACTGGTTGAAACCTAAGATATTCTTTTGTGCAAGTTCAACAGTTTTCTTAATTAAATTAAAAAGATTTTAAATAGCAAAATTAGGTTCCTTTCAACAGGTGTGCGATGTTGCTTTTTTTGTGTGTGTGTGTGGAGAGTAGTAACACACTATTGGATAACTGCATTTTTTAAACAGTGTTATGTTGTTCAAAGGCAGAGTAGTGGTTCCTGGGGAAAAATGCAGGAAAATGCTTTTGAAATCGGAGTGCATCTGCCCGAGCAGCAAGGAGCTAGCAAGTAATATGGATGTACATGCAAAACTCAGGCCCTGGCATAAAGCCAAAGTCCAAATAGACAAACAGCTAGGACTTTCCGCCGGAGCTTGCAACTGGTGAACAAAGAAAAGGAAAGAGAAATGTCAGTGAAGAAAAGATAGTGCCATTGAATAGGGCACATTTTGAGCAAACCTGAAAAACAGTATAATTAGAAATGTGTTCACATTGGAACCCACTAGTCATAAAAGTAAAGGCAGACATACAAAACATGGATAAGATAACCAGAGAGTAAAGATAAAAGGTAAAGGGGATATGGGGCAAATTGCAGTTGATAGCAAAAGATTTGACTTGTGAGTTAAGAGCCTGTAATCCATTGGGAAATAAAGGGGAGAAGTGTCCTTTGAGCAGACTGCACGAGGGTGGGGGAGGGGAGGGGGAGGGGAACTGCTTGATAGCTATGATGCTGCGGTCTGAATATTTGTTTTATAAGGATCAATATCCTGGGTTGGCTGGGGCATTTAAAACATAACCTTTGACCCCCCCCCCCCCCCTCCCGTGTGGGTTCCGGGGCCCCATTGTGGGGAAAACAAGAATATACCCACTGCCTCCCCAAAAGCATGTCGTAAGAGTCGACTAATTGGGGAGCTTCCTTTGAAGTCGGAGTGCATCTGCCGGAGAGGCCAGGAACCAACAGTCTGTATTCAAGAGAATGAGATCTGTAAAACTGATGCACATGCAACACTCAGGTTCTGGAGCAGGTCTGCAGTTCACTAGTGGACGAGCAACCAGAACTTTCCGCCAGAGTGTACAGCTGGTGAACGCGAAGAAGAAGATAACCTTTGACCCGCTAGTGAAAGCACTAGCACACACAGCGTGCCCTTCTTCTGTGTCTTGGTTTGTGTTTAAACATTCTATTGTAGATTCCAGGTTATTGATAGTCTTGTTTTGCTCTCACCACAGGCCCCTGAACCTGTATTCTACAACCAGAGGGGTGCCCCCTGTACTAGAGTGGAGGCTGGTCTTCCAGAGGATGAGGATGATGACGACGAGGATGCCTATGTTCTCAATGATGAAGAGGAGGCGGCTTTCTTGGAGTGGGAGGCAGAGAAGGCTAGACAACAGGCAGGCTGGTGTACCAATGATACAGGCTATGAATCGTATCAAATGTGAGTACACTGATGGTATAAGTAAAAGCCAGATCAAGACATCCGTTCTTCTTCTTCTTCTTTGGGTTCACCAGCTGTACACTCTGGTGGAAAGTTCTGGTTGTTCGTCTGCTTCTGAACTGCAGTCCTGCTCCAGACCTGAGTGTTGGGTGTGCATCAGTTTTACAGATCTGATTCACCTAACTGCAGCCTGTTAGTTCCTTGCCTCTGAGACAGATGCACTCGAACTTCAAAGGAAGCTCCCAATTGGTCGACTCCTACAGCATACTTTTGGGTAGTCAGTGGGTCTGTTCTTGTTTTCCCAACAGTGGGGCCCTGGAACCCACATGCGGATAAACAAGACATCCATACAAACTCTTCTCATTCAGAAGACAATAGGTCATGGCCATGCCGGCTCCACCATATCAGCCAATCATCAGATAGTATTGATACCTGCACAATACAGTATATGCTGGTCCCTTGGAGGATAGGCAGAGCGAGAGGACTTTTCCGCAATTGTCATCAGATATTGATACCTGCGCAATACAGTACATGCTGGTCCCTTTGAGGATAGGCAGAGCGAGAGGACTTCTCCGCAATTGTCATCAGATAGGACTGAAACCTACATAACACAATACAAAGCATTTGCCAGAGCGAGAGGCCTTCTCCGCAAGCACCATGTCTCGGAGAAACAAACCTAACGGAAAGCGCAACGGACAGAGGAAACAACCCACTGACCGATCAACCCGAGGAAGACGCAGACAGCTACTACCGAACCACAGGAAGACGAAGCGTACGAAGAAAACAACAGACTTAATAAGGAACTGCAAGCAACTAACAGAGTGATGGAAGAAAGAGAGAAAGCACGGAAAGAGGCAACAAGAAGGCAGCAAATACAGGGAGCCGAGACCCAGAAAAAGCCACATCAAACACCAGATAAGAAAAATCCAACGCTGCTGATGAAACAGTTTCCAGTTTCAACTGCTGACCAAATAAACCAACGCATCATGGAGCTGGAGGACCCGAACTTCTTTAACTCAGAACTGCAAGATGATGATGTTCTTTGGTCATCACCAGAGGAACCATATCGACAGCCAAAACCTGAAGTCAAACGAGGTCGACACCGTTACCCCAAACACTAATACCAGATACGACACAACCAAGGCCAAAATTACCGAAACCCTATGTAGGAGCAGTACTTTACAACAAGGATACGAGAAAATCACCAAATAATACCAGACCTCACCAGTATTGCCATCAGTACCTGCCCAAGTCAATCGACCGCCGATCCTTATTAGGATAGGCAATTTACTTTCCCCGGAAACAACAAACAGCCAAGGAATACCACAATAAATCGATTCAACATCCAATCATCTTGAGCGCAGCACAGGGCCAGCCAAATTACAAAAGCAACAGCAAGAGCGGAAACCACAACAAATAGAAAGCGACAATATTGAACACAATCCAAAACCAAATGAGATCGAGACCAGAAAACGTCACCACAAATATAGCTGAAAGGAAAGTGAGCAGAAATGTGAGCGGACCTAGCTGAAAGTGGTCAACGAAAGAGAATTTGAATTTGAATAGAAGACAATACCGAAGGAACAAGTCGACCATCTCACCTGAAAACAACTTGTGATTGTATTTAGACTGAACTGACTCGACAGACTGCAGCCATGTGTAAAAGATATTCAAGATTGGGGATTCGGAACTCTGCCTGTGTGGACAGTGCTTCCCTTCCCAGGATACTAAACATATACCCTGCAGATATGCTATCTGAATGGAGCAGAGATATTCCATTTGTGGCCACTAGTATTGATGTGAAAACCTTGCTGTATAGATCAGTGCAGGGCATGCCGGCTTCATAGTGGCCTATTCGTCTGAAAATCACGGACAAGGAGAAGGATAGGAACAAGCTAATTTTGTTGCATCTCTTGTGTTCTGTAGTAGAAACTCTACTTAGTAGCGTGCACAGCAGAGGCTTTTGCTCATCAGAAGGGCTACCTTTCCATTAACATTTCAGACCATCTATCTCTATTTTGCCCCCAGACTGGGGCCACAGAACCCATTGGCTTAAAAGTTTAGTTCATCACTTATAACACTGTCCCATGATTGCCTTGCTACATGGACCCACACTACCCTAGGCAAAATGCACATCACTTCTTCTGTACCATGTCGGTTTTTAACCTTGCACTCTTTTTGCCAGGAATGAGCCAGCTTCTCTCCTTTAGTCTTGTAGTCTCCATGACCATCCTCACCGCTGGTTTAAAATACCAGGGAATGGCCTTCAGCCAGCTCACACCACATCCTGTGTAGATTTGTTCTTGATCAGCTTGATATTGCAGCTGAAATGTTTACGGGTTGAGGTTTTCAGTCTCACACAGTCTGTCCTTCATCATTCATTCATTCTTAGTTCTCTTGTGCCATTATAGTCACATGGGAGGCTTTCAGTCTGTTTCTCTGTTCTGTTACATCCTGCCTGTGCCATCACTTTGGACATCCTGGTTTGCTTAGTCTGCAGCCAGCTCTAGATATAAGGCGGTACAGCTCAAACGGGAATTCCCATTTTTGTGAGGCCGGTGTGGCCGGTCGGTGGTAACAATTGTTATCAAGTAGATTTATACACAAATTGAAACAAATTGAAGTTTAATCAATGTGCAACATGTGTTTTTATTATCATTTTGAACCTAAATATTTTCTAATAGTTCATTTATTTATCTTCAAAATAATAATTCATTTAATAACACATGTTGCAAATTAATTAAACTAGTTCAGTTTGTTTATAAATCTACTCGATAACCATTGTTTCCACCGACCAGCCTCACAAAAACGGGAATTCACTTTTGAGCTGTACGGCCTTATATCTGGAGCTGGCCGTACCTTAGTCCAACTTTTTGTAATTTCACTGCCTGTTTAGCAATTCTCTCATCTGTTCTGAGAATGGATATAGTATAGTGCAATCCTTGGTGTTATAACTGTTGAGACCATTGTTTGCCCAGACATCTCTCTGATGTCTTCACTCCTCTTGAATTCATCCAATTGTATGTGATCTGCCCTTAGTCACCTTTTATTCCATACATAGTTAGCTACTGAATGTTAAGAAGATATATTGTCATGTCATTTTTTTAAGATTCCTCCGTGTGTCATATTAATCTCTCTGAAAGTATTCTCAAGTAAGTAAAGGACCCTTTTCCACGCTTTTAGACCTATATTTTTATAGACCAGTCGGCACATGATGGGTAATTTGGTCAGCATCATTCCGGCCGTCTCTACTTCCTGGGACTGCACCCGGTACTCACTTAAGGCTGGGTCTACCTGGGGGCCAAGGTCATAAAAAAAAAAGGTTCAGCTCCTCCTGGGAGCGAACCCACGACCTTCTGATCCAAAGCGAGATTCTAGCTGCTCTGCTGCGGGGACTTCCAGTATCCTCAAGAGTCACCACTTGATGATGTGTTGATTTTTTCAGAGATGAAGCGTCTGATGATGGGGGAATGGGAGATGAAATGGAGGCTGCGTACGAAGAGTTTCTGCAGAAGCAAGCTACAATGTGCCCGTACCCACCCAATCAGGCAAATTCTGTGGAGCATCAGATGCCACCGATTCTTCTTCACATGTTTAATGTAAGTTGTGCCAGATTTTTCCCTTATGTATCTGTTCTGTGCCAGTGGCTTAAGACATGGAACAAAGGTTAAATGCATTTAAAATAATGCCCAAAGGGAATCAGAAAACATAAAATAAATTCAAGAAAGCTGCAGAAATAAGTGAAATATTCTGTTAAGGTAAAATCGGCGCATCATGCGTTCATTGGGCTTCTTGGTAGGAACCTATGAACGTATGATGTGTTCTTTGGGACTCAAAGAGTTATAAGACAAGATGACAGTTATACTGAACACATTCTGAGCAGAGAGAAAAAGAATCTTCAAACCGGCACCTGGGGGGGGGGGGGTCTAATGGGCTGTGGAAATGACATCCGAAAGAAACTGTAAGACGAACGTTGATGAGCGGGCAAAGATGCTTAACTGGATTCCAACCGGGATAATGAAACAATTGCACAAGATGAAATGGAATGAAAGCATAGACTGCAATCGCTGTGTCATGTGTAATGGTTTCTCTTATTTCTGCACTTTATAAATGAATGGACTTCAAAGAATTGGAAGAATTGCGTGAGCAATTCTGTGTTCTAACCAAAAACAAGAGTTGCATGGTACAAAATGAGTTTTTTGATGACATAGGTTTAGCTTTAAACAACAAATCAACATCGTGGCACAAGGGTAGTAACCCATAAATGCTCTGTTCTACTTCTGACTCAGGCCTGAGTCCGAAGAATCGTAGCGCAGTGCAACTTCGTAGCTCCGGCGAGGTCACTGAAATACATTGGATAGATTTTTAACTCCAGGTTTTTATGTGGCCAGTATGCCTGTATCACAACTTTGATCTGGTTGGAGCTGCTTAGTTTGTGGATAAGGTGGATATGATAATATTTACAAGAAGAAGAAAATTACGTATTATTTTGGGTGAAACCAAATCACATTTTAAAAAAAAATGATAGTACATCATAATAGGGAATCACCGTGGCTTAGCGGCTAGATGCTCGAATGCGGATCGGAAGGTTGTGGGTTCGCTCTCTGGCAGACTTTTCCCCCCAAAATGACCTTGACTCCCAGGTTGACCCAGCCTTGAGTGGGTACCGGGTGCAGTCCTGGGAGGTATAGGCGGCTGGCTTGATGCTGACCACATCACCCATCTTGTGCCGATTGATCTATAAAATATAGGTCTTGCCCTATACGCCTAAAGGTGTGAAAAAGGGACCTTTACTTTACTTACATCATAATAATCTCAAGAGATCACTCCGCTCCACATGGCCAGGTCAACAGATCCATGCAGATCTTGGTCAAAGGGAAGGAAAGCACAGTTTAATTTTTAATGATTATTTCCCTTTGCTTACAAGATTCTCTGTCCAGAATATTGATCTGAGGTGGGTTATAAATGTATACAGACCTGGGCATCTGTGAAGAAGCTGTGGCTTTTATACTTTTCTTTCTTAGGGGTTCGACACCCATGTCATTTTATAAAGAAAATGACCAAGACTTAATTTCCTCTGTTTCTTCGCCTCCTCCTCCTGTTTCTTCGCCGCCTCCTCCTGTTTCTTCGCCGCCGCCTCTGATTCTTCGCCGCCGCCTCTGATTCTTCGCCGCCGCCTCCTGTTTCTTCGCCACCTCCTCCTGTTTCTTCGCCTCCTCCTCCTGTTTCTTCGCCGCCTCCTCCTGTTTCTTCGCCGCCTCCTCCTGTTTCTTCGCCGCCTCCTCCTGTTTCTTCGCCTCCTCCGCCTCTGTTTCTTCGCCGCCTCCTCTGTTTCTTCGCGGCCTCCTCCTCTGTTTCTTCGCCTCCTCCTCTGTTTCTTCGCCTCCTCCTCTGTTTCTTCGCCGCCTCCTCTGTTTCTTCGCCTCCTCCTCTGTTTCTTCGCCGCCTCCTCCTCTGTTTCTTCGCCGCCCCCTCCTCTGTTTCTTCGCCGCCTTCTCCTCTGTTTCTTCGCCGCCCCCTCCTCTGTTTCTTCTTCGCCTCCTCGTCTGTTTCTTCGCCGCCTCCTCTGTTTCTTATGAGTTTCAGGCAATTGTAAGGATGTGTTTTGAAATATTTTGAAAGAGGCCAATTTTTACGGGGTGAAAGTGTTCAAACCTGATATTATTTTCTGATAAGTAAAGGACCCTTTTGTTTGAAAAAAGGCCATTAGCACATCAAGCATATGATGTTAGATTAGTATATTTGATAGATACACGGTTGGGGAATATGGTCAACTTTGCACTGGGTACTGATACTTTACAGGACTTTGCCTTGTACGCCTTTTAGGGTGGGCTGCTCCCATGAGTCAGGATTAAGTTTAAAAACAGTCCAACTAGGTGCAGATTGGATCCTGTGACTTCTTGGCCAGCAGATGAGTGTCTAGCCACTGCACCACCATGGCTTCTGATATTTTTTCATATCTTTATAATAATCCTTACCTGCGCAGGTCTGCAAGATGCATTGAGTAAGTAATACTTGGTCTAGTCATTATAATTGTCTCGATTATAATTTCTTCAGAGGTTGAATGAAATATCTGAGATTTGTCCTGTTGATTTGTCATCCTGCGAGACTCAGGTTCTAATTTTTTGCTAAGGTCATGGATTTTTTCTGTTGGGAGCAAAAATAAAATTCTTACCTGCAGTCTGTAGTACTAGCTAGTCACACAGCCACAGTCCATGGTGACAGTACCAGCCACACAGCCACAGTCTGGTGACAGTACTAGCCACACAGCCACAGTCCGTGGTGACAGTACTAGCTAGTCATACAGCCACAGTCCGTGGTGACAGTACTAGCTAGTCACACAGCCACAGTCTGGTGACAGTACTAGCTAGTCACACAGCCACAGTCTGGTGACAGTACTAGCCACACAGCCACAGTCCGTGGTGACAGTACTAGCCACACAGCTCTAATACTCTGGCTCAGATACCCCGTGGTAAATACAGGTAATAATGGCAGTGTCTGTTTTAGTGGCAAATGTGTTATCCTGGATAAGCTACTTGTAGTTTCAGTGGGTTGGCTGTGTGGCTAACTCGATGCGGACACTTTGTAATGCCAGGGTGCCGGGTTTGATCCCAGCTGCAGGCCATGCGCCTTGCGTTGGTTTCGACAGCGGTATCAGGGGGCCGACCGTCCAGAAAGCAATAGACGTAATTTGCCTAGAGAAACCACACAACAGCCAGGGGCTGCTTGGGTTGGTTCTGCAATGTGCTGTAAAAGAATACACAACCAGCCAGTTTCAGGGGTGGTCAGACCTTCAGATAGAGGTGCACTGAAAGGGGGGGGGGAATGGGGGAGCAGAAATATCTTTATGTTATTGCAGTAATGGTAATTAGTGTTTGTTTTATACACTTCTGCAGCAGCCACCGCCCAACATGGCTCCACGTCAGGACTTCCACGGCTTCCCGCCACAGCAACAGCAGCAGCAGCAGCATCATCAGCATCAACAGTACATGCTGCCAGCAAACTCCCAACAACAGCCACCACATATACTGATGCCCAACGCTCAACAAAACCAGCAGCAGCAGCAGCCACAGGGTCAGCAGCAGTATCCACCACACTACCCCAGAAATGACCAGTACCATTTTAATCGGTGATGTCTTCTGTCCGCTGCTCTCTCTCTCTCTCGGAAGTATTCCAGTTTGGTTATCTGCGTTTCCGTACTGTATCTTTGTTTCCATTACATGTAAATATTGTTTGGTGACAAGTTTATTTTTCTTGTTGTTTCATCATGAAATCTGTTTATTTGAATTTTATGTATTTTTTTTTTTGATGTAATGACTAAAAAAAAAATTTCTCTACTCTAAAAGGTTGAAAGAAAAGGCATAGTAAAAAGTTTACAGTGATTGTTGAATAAAGCATTTATTGGTGTGTGAGCATTAGTATAACAGTTTTGTGTGTGTTGATCCTAAATGTAAAAGTGAGTAATCATATCTGATGGATAAAGTGTTGAAAGATAAAGAAAGGTTATAAATGATGTTTATATGTGGTTGGCTCTTGAGATGTCAATTTTGTTTGTTCCATCCTGAGTGTGTCCTGACTAAAGGAAATAGTAATGAGGTGTAATGAAGAGGCTTTGCCTAATATTGAGAGCATTGGCTCATTACAATGGACTTTGTTTTAAATGCCAACATATCAGATAACGTTGACAGATTCCAGCAGTTTTCTTTTGAGTAATGTATATTTTAATGCCAGATGCTGCTGCTAATGAGTTGATCTTTCTGGCTGTGTGACTTTGATAGCTGGTCTAAAGTCAGATTGCAGTAACAGTGCACATAGTTACAGGAGAAGCATGAATGTAGAATAATTTGACTTTTTTTTTGTCAAGAAATAAAGAATGAATGAATCTTTGTTTTCAGCATTTGTCCTTTAAAGGGCAGATGAAATGTATTTTACAACTAGGCTGCAATATTTGCCACTTGTTCCTAGCAGATCTGGTGTCGTCAAACCCTTGGACATATCCTTTTATGAGACTAAGACTCAATGGGGTCTTGCAACCCACCCAGGGAAAATGAATGCATTTTATTTCATAAGACTGAGATTTGGTCTAACATTCAGTCCTTCTTGTTTTTGTCATCTGATATTGTAAATTTATACAAAGCATGATAAAAGAGGCCTAGATATGAGACTGGATTCCGTCCGTGGTTTGTGAAGTTTTAATGCAAGATAGAATGGAATGGAGAGATTACGTTTGTGAAGTATAAACAGGACAATAAGATGGTGCTACTGTACTATTTATCTAAGCATTATCTAATGTTGTTCTTGTAAACTACGTGATTTAAATTGAGAATGCACAAACTGGAGATTGCACAATTTGTTGCCTCGTTGGCCGTATCCTGTCAAGTGCATACTGCAGTAACAATTTAATACACTGAACAAAGTTAAGGAATATTTCCAGCTGATATACAGAATTGGTTACATTCATAAGTACAGGGGTTGTGCCGTGTTTTTAATTCTCTGTTGACATTTATATTAGGGAAACATTGCTTTGATTATTTCATGTAGCCCTCTTGCTCTGGGAACAATTTTAAAAGGAGTCATGACCCTGTTGGAATTCCAGAAAAAAAAATATTCTTTGAAATGTACCAAAAAAAAAAAAAAAAAAACAACTGGTCACTAATATATTCATTTAAAATGTGTTGAAAATATAGAAAGATATTTGAAGGGAGTGTCACTAAACACGAATAGGGGGAGCATTAAATGGAATGCATTCCTTTGAACCTTAATATATATTTCGTTGGGTGCCTCATGCTATGACCTCTCAGAGGCTTAGGAAAGCAATTTAGCTCAAAGCTTCCCTCACCCCAAATGTGATTTTTTGTTAATATATTTCTATCCTGACTAAAACATTTGGACTGGCATGAAAACAGCCAACAGCATTAACTTTGAAGCTGGTAACAGATCATTATAGACAAGTCTAAAAAGTGACATTAATAGGGAATTTGACCCATCGGGAGGTGTCGGTTTTGTGGCTGCTGAGGGCGAAAATATTTCAATAATTTAGGGGCTTCAGTGATGTAGTGGTTTGTGTTGTTGCATACCAATATAGTTGTTCAGCAGTTGCTGGAATATTTATTTATTAAAATTTTACTTCATAGTACAAGGGTTGACCTGGCTTCATAAGATAAGTACATAAGATAAGGCAAAATCAGAAGTTCGGTGATCATCGTGAGGGTAGTATAATTCATGCAAGCTAAATCTGTGTGTCTTTGAACATAAGAGTACCTAGCAGTTGTGTTATTATTTCAAGGGGATTGAAAACTTATCACACAACGTTCTACCTCTCGACTTTGGGGGGGGGGGGGGGGGGGAGCTATCTTGTGTATGTTGTTGATGATTATGTGAAAGATGTGTACTTCAGAAATCAGATGCATTATGTTGCTTTGGAGACTGCCACAGATAATGATAAACTGTGTGCGTGAGGAGATGGGGAGATAATTCAGAGGTTTAGAGGTGAGTGAATGCAGTTAACAATTTCACTACCCTCCCCCTTTTGCCAGTAGTTGGGTTTGGTTTTTTTTCCATGGTAGACATTTTTTAATTTGACGGTCTTATTTTCTGACAGTTGTATGAGGATTGCAGGAGAATTGGACTTCACCACGTAATATTTCCCAAGATATTGGGGCCTCAGTATGTAATATTCTCCAAAATATTAGGGCCTTAACTTGAAATATTGCCCAAAGCAACAGTGGGCTGACTGTTATATTGGACGACGTTTGGTGCAGGAGAGCCTAGCATATGATACCACAACATCCAGAACACAAAAAGTATTTGATCTTCTCCACAACACATTATTTAAAATAAAGGGGGTCTCCGTGGCGGAGTAGTTGAGCTATTTACCCTATAAGGTTAGAGTTAAATTAAGGCCTTTTTTGCAGCTTTGGGCATATACGGCTAGACCTGTAGTACAATCTGCACTTGATGATTGATGTGGTCAACATTACACAGGCCACTTTTACCTCCCAGGGCTCTACCTGGTACTCAGTCAAGGCTGGGAGCCCAGGTCATTGTTCACACTGTGCCCTGAAAATTGTTGTTTGCTCGCAGACTCAATAGTTGACAAGTGCAGGCTGTTAGGAGACCCCTGGAGGTAGTCACTGGAGCTACAAAGATTCCTGATTCTTCCGACACGCTTGGAGGCTGAACTACTCAGTTGAGTGTGATGGAGCTGTATTAGATAAAACATGGTGCAGTGAGGGTCGGTGCAGACTTCTTCTTTGCGTTCACCAGCTGTAAACTCTGGCAGAAAGTTCTGGTTGTTCATCCACTTCTGGACTGCAGTCCTGTTCCAGAACCTGAGTGTTGCGTGTGCATCCATTTTACATATCTGACTCATTTGTATGCAGACTGTTGGTTCGTTGCCTCTCAGGCAGATGAACTCTGACTTGGAAGGAATCCCCCAATTAGTGGACTCTTACGACATGCTTTTGGGTAGGCAGTGGGTCTATTCTTGTTTTCCCTATAACAGGGCCCTGAAACCCACACGGGGATGGTGCATGTAATTTTTTTTTTAAATACAAATGATCAGGCATCATGTTTGTCTTGAGATAATAAGCTGCATGTACAAAAGAGTTGAATGTAAGTAGACCACAAGTTGGAGAGATAGTGTCTAGGCAGACCTACATATGTTTAGAGTCACCAACTGGAAAGAGTAAGACAATCATACAGGTGAATGAATGTCGGTAATATCTGCAGGAAGGAATCTCAAGGGCTCGGAGTTCTGAAAACAAAGAAGGTAGTTTGCCCAGAGACTAGCACACTTGAATGACGGTTGTTAGGTCTTCTATATTTAAATGTTAATCAAACTGGGGATTTTAAAATATACTGCACTCTTAGGCAGATACAGCCAAATATGGCTATAGGGCATTTTTTTGGGAAGCAAATGTCGATGGCATTTATATCAACTTCTTAAACAGTCGACTGCAAATTAAATATTTTTTTTAACAAGAGGTCAGCGCCATAGGCCCAGCTGTTGAAATGAGTATTTTACTTTACTTTTCATCATGACATATAGTAACTACTGCTTTAAGACAGATTACATTTGTTACAGGGTTCTTATTGATGGGAATGTTTCCTTCCCTTAGCAGCTTAATTTAAGTTTTTTTTCATAAATATTACCTATAAATACTGTGGGATGGTAGATATCTCTGTGAAGTATATTCTACACAGACAATAACACCCCTTTCAAGTAGTATATTCTCCACACAGTACCACCTGTTTGAAGTATATTCTACACAAGCACAGTACCACCTGTTTGAAGTATATTCTACACAAGCACAGTACCACCTGTTTGAAGTATATTCTACACAGACACAGTACCGGCCCTTTCAAGTATATTCTTCACACAGTACCACCTGTTTGAAGTATATTCTACACAGGCACAGTACCGGCCCTTTCAAGTATATTCTTCACACAGTACCACCTGTTTGAAGTATATTCTACACAGGCACAGTACCACCCCACTGAGGTAAATTCTACACAGACACAGTACCGGCCCTTTGAGGTGTCTTCTATACAGACACAATACCACTCTTCTGAGATATATTTTATACAGATACTGTACCACCTGTTTGAAGTATATTTTATACACACACAGTACTGGCCCTTTGAGGTTTATTCTAAACAGACACGGTACCATCTCTTTGAAACTCAGTATTACCCCTCAGGAAGTATATTCTACACATTCACAGTGAGCAAGAGAGTACTACTTCTCAAATCCTGTTACAGTGCTAAAAAATTTAAAAGGGCATTATTATTATTATTGTTTTTGTTGGGGGCGGGGAGGATAACATTGTTAGTTATCCAGTTTTGGATGTATGAGCATTTAACACTGCCAATGTTTGCCTTGTTGAGTTTGTTGTATTATACTATTTGTGCATGTCTTTGTTGCACTGGGATTGGGTGAATGATCGATTGAGTTTGAAGTGATTAAATATAATCTGGTGTAAAGTATATTTTGTTTTGAGTTATGAATCTGTCTAAGAAAGAATCAAATATTTCATGATATACAATTTAGTAGTTGTGTCTATTATGTTTTTTTTTTTTTTTCATTGTTATGAAAGACATTTTTTTCCTACACTTTATAGTGATTAGTAAG